ATAGGCAGACGTTCGGCCTCATGCGAAAACATGTGCATTTCCTGGACCTGTGCTGCAATTTCTCCGACATGCTGTGGCGAGTGAAGACGAGGAGAGAGTGTCATCGCGCGGACCGTGCACTACACGAGGGTAGCTTAGACATGTATGTATGCAAGTCTATTAGAATTTCTACTCTCTGTCTCTCGACTATATATACATACAAATATATACATATATATATATACACATGATATTCTATAATATCATATTCTGGCATATCATATGTGATGGTATCATATCATGTTAAATGTATCATATCACATGATACTATGTTATACCATATTGCTGCATCATAAGTGCTTGTATTCTGGTTTAGTATGCTACATTAGATGATACTATATAATCGAGTATATCGTATAGTACTATAATATCCGTACTACTAGTTTTCATAGTTATATAATGCATATACTGCCTGCTATTGTGTTATATACTATAAGATCATATGATGTTAGAGTAGAGTATAGCCTTTAAGCTATATTGTACATACACATGCTCTTTGGTTGACTGACACATATGAGATGTGATTTAAGGCAGCACCATGGAGAGGACTGTAATGTACTGCCGTGCAATTTCGTCTACTGTAATTTGATGATTTGATGTGATACGTAGCGAGTGGGATATAGTGTAATGTAACATATAATGGAACGAATTGCAATAGAAGTCCCATCTAGTTTGATTTCAATTGATCTCATCTCTCTGAGGCGGTCGTAATCGACCAAGTCAAATCAACTCCAATCTCAGATGACAAGTTGTGTTTTGTAGTGGCATGCGCACATGCATACACGCATGACTTCATGTTTTGATGGATGGATCGATGGATGGATGGATGGATGGACGGATGGCGGGCTGTATGTATGGATTCGCCCATGCATAATATGTATACGACATCTGTATACGTATGTGTACATGTGTCTGTTGATTCGCATGTATATGTATATGTACTATTAGCATGATTTTTCCGAAGAAGCGGCTTCCAAACTGGGCGTTAGAGACGCATGTCATCGGGCTGGCTTGCAGATTGCATGTTTGGGGTTTTTGGGGTTAGGAGCCTGAAGACTCTACAACCAAAACCCACTTCATCTTGGGAATCCCTTACTCATGGCTGTTGCGCAACACCCTCTTCTACTCGCAGACGCTTTGCTGTAGTGCCCGGCAGCCTAGAAGCCACAGGCCGCACGGGGATGGACACAGATACGTCATGTACTACGGTTGATGATGTAAATCCTGCATTACCCAGAATAAGGAATATACCATGATTCCCATAGCTTAGGGCCCCTAAGGTAATGCAGGATTTATATCATCAACCGTACCCCTACACAGCTCCGAGGCCCCTACTAGGCCCCCAAGCAGCTCAACGTAGCTGCCCTGCTGTGGGCGCGCAGAAGCACTGCATCATAATTATGAAACTCGATCTATTTGTGTATATATATATATATATATATATATATATATAGTAGTATTGTACTATAATATACGTATTACCATTTTATAGATATATATATATATATATATATGTAAATTTGCCTTGATTTCCGACCTCGACTTCCGGGTACTCCCCTCGTCTCTGCAGAGTCCGCAGCCAGGGGCATGGTGCCAGTATGTACTGTACGGTTCCTCTGGGGCTCTAGGGCTTAGGGTTTAGGGTATCGTTCTACTAGAGTGCGAACGTGTCGTTACGATGTGTTGAACTCATCCGAGGCAACTTGGATGTTGTTGTGCCGCTTATTCATCATGCTTGCCCATATGACTAACATTGCCACGCTCCGCGGTAATTTGGCCGTATCGTTGTAAATTGCGAGAGTTGTACTGTCTTCAATCCCATTTTGGCTGAAGTGTGTTTCGGTTTTGTTATGGAAGCTGTATAATAGTCAGCAAGAAACTGCACACTGCTGTGGCACTGTGGGCCTTGGGGATCTAGTGGCGTTTGTTGGACTTCTTTGATTTGTCCTGTCCAATGCAACGATTGATTGATCGCGTGACATTGCCCGGATTTCAAGTCCCCCGGACAAGCGACGCCAGAGGTCACTACGTAGAAGTTGCCGTAGACGCAGGCTAGTTATCATCGTCGTCGTCTCGCCTCGCCGACCTCAACACAATTAGTTACTACTATGCTACTACTACTACTGCTACGACTACTATGCTACTACTACTACTACTACTACGACTACTATCCTACTACTACTACTACTCCTACTACTACTACTACTACTACTACTACTACTACTACTACTACTACTGCGACTGCTACTACTACTACTACTACTACTACTACTACTACTACTACTACTACTACTACTACTACTACTACTATACTACTACTACTACTACTACTACGCTACTGCTACTGCTACCACTCCACTACCACTACCACTACCACTACTACCACTACCACTACCACTACCACTACCCTACCACTACTACTACTACTACTACTACTTCTGCTACTACTACTACTACTACCACTACTACTACTACTACTACTACTACTACTACTACTACGACTACTACGACTACCGCCACTACCACCACTACCACCACTACCGCCACTACCACTCCTACCACCACTGCCACCACTGCCACCGGCAGTATTGGTCAGGAGGAGCAGTAGTGGTGGCAGTATGAAATATTGGCAAAAGAAGCAACAGGTGAATGGTGAGATTTCCATGCTGCAGAGTACTGCTGCCTTTAGGCCAGCCTCTTAGCATATCCAGCCCCGTGAGGATTTCAATTTCAATTTGCCACTCTTCAGAAACGCCAGGGCGGCGCAAAGCATATTCTTTGGCAACCACCTGGCTTATGCAGCTCAGTCAATGGTTTCTGGAGATGTCAGTTTGATCGGAAGCACTGGCTGTCGAAGCTGGTGTGTGCCTGATTTGCGTCTATCAGTCGCATTCAGGGCCCGTGCTTGTGCCTTTCAATTACCAACAGATGACGGAGAGCCTATGCTCTCCTGCTCCAATCCGCTTGACCTGCCTTTTGAACAAAAAAATTCTCAGGGATGTTACGAGCCGACAGAGACAATTTACAAAGCCGAAGGCCCGAAACAGGAAGTCAGGCAGCACGCTTGTTCGCATTCAGTCTTGATTAGGCAACATAAACCTACCTTCGGCAGTCGGCCTGCTACCACCTTGCCCTAGTTTTGTCCAGTATGTCCTCCTGTGGCAGCGGTAGCAATCGGATTCAGAGCTTCACAACGTAGTACTGGTAGCAGAAGCAGCAGGAGCGCAAACGGAAAATACACTGCTGTGCAGCTATCGCAAGAAGCACCAAACGTGGCAACATCATACAGTGCGCTCCGGAGCTAGCCATGGTTTCGGATGCTGCAGTCGTCAACTTTTATCCGTCAGTGAGTTTTACACTCTTTAGCAACACGTCTGACATGCCAGCTTTCTTTTCCATGAAGTCTAGCGATTTCATGTGTATCAGGATGGTGTACAAGTCTGCTGAAGTTTCATTCTGGGCTGACACCATGGACACTTCACTGGAATTAAAAAGAGCCTGGGCTCAACAGGCATGACTCACTGCGTCATATGACCACACTCCAAGAAGTTCGAGTTCATAAGAACGGACTTACGATGATACGTGCTTGCCTTACAGCCTGTAGGACAAGTCTCTTTGGGAAGCCTGCTGAAATCACAGGATGCGGCCGCGCGCACACTGTCAGGGCAGGCGCCAGCATGATCTATGACCCAAGACTTCCCCGTTGCATGGGATTGGCCTATGGGTTTAGGGTTTAGGATTTAGGGTTTAGGGTTTAGGGATGGGACTATGTTTTTGTTAATAGGCATTGGCCCCGGCATTGACGCTGGGGATGAGGTACAGACATGATTCTTCATAGACTTGGGCTTGAATGAATTAGTATGCTTGTGGTCATGAATAGGCTTGGCGAGTTCAGTATCTTCATGACCGAGATTTCTTCAAGCAGAGAGATGGTCAGACCCCGCGACAGAGCAGCCGTCCAAACACATAGCCTCTGAAACCTGTAGAGCATCCAGGACCTATCCACCTTCATACTTGCAGAACCTAAACTCTAACGCACCTGCTCTCGCGACTTCTGAAAAGATTCGAGATCATGCTTTGTGTCCTGTCCTGGATGTATATTATCTGCTATGAGTGATAAAGCATCTTCTGGTCTAGTATAGGCAGTGCAGTAATCAGCTGTTTTACTCAACTTGCCCCTTGAAGCCGTTTGGGCTCAGAGCTTTGCGAGCGGGTCGAGACGGTCCCGAGGAAATGACAGCCTTATTCAGGCCGCCGGCCTGACATTGTCAGAAGTGTTATCGCTGTTTATTGGGGTAGTAGGGTAGCAGGATGCTGGGGGACGTGGGGGGCGGGGGGGGGAGGTTGCGATTTTGGGGTTTGGGGCTCTTGCTTGCGAGGGTTGCAAGATTATGGGCCACCTTTTGGCTTCGACAACTCTGAATGACGTCATTGCTTGCGGGATAAATATGTCTTCCTTCCTGAATCGTGCTAGAATATGTGGGAAAGCACAGGTGTTGCCACCCCAATCACGCAAGTACTTGTGGGAAAGCATGGCTCCCTTACTGCTGAATCCGGCAGTACTCAGTACTGGCGAAAGGATTTTGGCCACGCTCTTGAATCACTGTTGGTCTGGTGGTTTCTGGGTGGTCTGTCATGTTCGTCGCGTCGATCTGTCACTGTTTGAGGATCGACGCCGGCAGAAGTTTGCACCAGAAACTCGCGACACGGACTGGCAACCCGCTCTCTATAACCAAGAGGGCCGAGGTCGAGGTTGCAGGCACTGCTCGGGTCCAGCATGGGGAAGACAAGCCAACATCTGGGCGGGCTCTGGGATGGCGGTCCTCTGTACATGTTGCCTTTGGTGCAGTACAGTATACTTCAGCCACGGCCACCTCTGCTCTACAGAGTCATGTTTACCCGCCCTGTGTGGCGCTGATTGTAAGTACTATGTTTTTTCACCGGGCGCCCTAAATGCGTAGGTTGGCGGCACTTTGGGCCTTCGTGGTGACCTGGTGCGCCGCAGAGGAAGGTGCCGCCTTTGGCTTTTCGTTGTCGGTGTATGAGGCTGTATGTTGCGATTCAGTGAGTGGTAGTCTGCTTGGCCATGCTATTCACAATGTTGCCTTCGTGCAACAACTGGTTCGGGGTATGTCCAGAGGCCATAGCATTTCGAAGTCCATATTCTGCCCTTCGGAAGTATCTGCACGGCGTCTCGGATTCCTGACAGATTGTCCAAGCTGGAGCGAGACATCCGGCCAAGCGCCCTGTTTATAGTATTATACAACTCAACTGCATGATTCAGATCCCTTGCTCGTCGTCCAGTTGGAGACATTTGTTAAGGTTTCCTGTGCTGAGTACACACTGCGGCCACCACGGTAGCAGAAGCTTTTTGTTGAATGCTGTCCTGTGCAGGCGAGGATGTCAAGGGACCGATGATAACCAACAAGGTGGGCAGATGACAGGATGACGGTTTCTGTGGGTTTCTGGAGTGTGACAAGTTTGTGATCTGCGATGAGGTCTACTTCGATGTGGCCATTGGCGGCAAGAAGACCGGCCGCATCGTCATCGGCCTGTATGGCAAGAAGGCAGCAGACTCTGTGGGGCGTCATAGCAGGATGCAGCAGCTGTCTTGAATAGCTCGTCATCACAATTGTCTGCAGGTCCCGAAAACCGTGGAGAACTTCCGTCGCATCCTCAGGACAACATTGCATTGAATTGAAAGAGGCTCTGCATGCTGTATTTGTTGCAAACAAACATCACATACCCTGCGGGTATGCCATCTAGATGTAAAAGGCCTGAGCTTAGCCAGCGGCTAATCTTGAGAAAGTGTTGGAAACCAACCCAGTAACAGTCAGTTGAATCATATTTGTAACATATATATATATATATACACATGTATATGTATATGTGTATATATATATATATGACTCCTACTCCTGTTTACTTGTAGTCGTAGCCATATGATCGCCTGTGGTCTTGCTCGGATGGGTCGGACCTGTACGGGCTGCTGCTTCCGAGTACTTAGAATTAGTTCTCAACACAAAGGGTCCCAGGTACCGTTATGAGGGGTACTTTCCCAAATCATGATAGTAATTCCTACTCTAGGAATCCTACATTCCTCTATATGGGTGCTTACAGTACTATATAGGTACTTAGGATGTAGGACCCTTTCGAAAAAATGCTTCGGCAAGCATGCCACTATCCTCTACGGTCCCTAAGCCGCAGGTCTAAACAAACGCCTATGGCTATGAGGTCCTGAACCCCAAAGCCCTCCACTGCCATACTCATCCCCTCAAGCCCCAAGCTTTGAAACTACAAGAAACTGAGGTGCCCTTTGCACGGGCGAGAAGGGTTTCGGCTACAAGGGCTCCAAATTCCACAGGGTCATCAAGGACTTTGGGATTCGAGGGTTCTGGAGATCATGGGTTTAAGAGGAAGGGTTGAGGGATGGAGTATTCAAGGATATGGTGCTATGCTACATGCCGCCACTACATCGACAATCATCGGGGCCTTGCCGTACCAATAGCAGCAGTCGAAGAACAAGAAGCAATAGCAGCATGAAGGGCAGCAGCAAAGGCGTGCGTTCGTCGTCATCGCAGAGCTTGAGAGTTATAAAAGTTATAGAAGCAGCCATATAGATATAGATAGATACAACGCTCTACATACAGTCCTACATACATGTATGTATTTTTTGTGTGTATATCATCGCGTTGCATACATCCTCAGAGTGGTTGTTTTGTCCCCACTACTGTGGAAACAAATTGTAGTCGCAATCACGAGCAATGGCGAGTGGTTCGAACATGGAACTCCTGAGCCCGAAACCTTTAGTCTAACGAACCCTCCAGTCTAAACCCCAAACTGAGAGCTCGACAATGGATGTTCAGTTTTTATGTTGTCTGGTTCTTCAGCTACCGAAAACGAAGATCTTTGGAAGCCTTGAACCTGTGGTTCCTGAAAAGAGCCCAAAAAGGCGGCATGTGGAAAGCAGATCATTCTCTGGGGCAGTGATACTTGGAATAGGGTTCCCTTTAAGGGTTCTTTACAGGGTCCTGCAAGGATCTATGGTAGGGGTATATGATATAGGGCCCTTAATAATTAGAAGAGGGTGTTGGGGGTTCCTGATTATAGTTATAGCATACTGTACCCCCAAACCTTATGCTGATAATTTAGGCCCGCATATCGTATACCCCTACTATAGATCCCTTACAGGACCCGTTAAAGAACCCCCAAAGGGAACCCTATTCTAATTATTAGTAAGGCCCGTATAGTAGAATGGTTGACGGCCCCAGGCCTGCTCGCGTTGGGGCATCTCTAGTGCTACAACTGTTACAAATACTGTTACCACTATCAATAATAGTATTCGTATTATTCTCATGATGAGGACCATAACTACGTTCGCGCCGTGCCATCTCGAGTGATTTCGCCAGCTGTTTCAGTCAAGCCACAGTTTTGCGATAGTGTAGTCAGCCTTTCCGCTTTCAAAGAATGGCGCTGACAACCCCTCTGACGGAGCTCTTCAAGATCAAGCACCCTGTAATGCTGGCGGGCATGGCTACGAAGCTGCATTTTTGCACCAAAGTCCTTAAGTACCAGCATCCTCTCCAGTCTGATTGGAGTGGAGCTAAGGGGCTTCGGTCACAATGCAGTGCTTAACTTTAGTATCAGCGGCGTAGAACTTTGCAAACTGCTGACCTGAAGATGGACAAAATCAAGGTGGCCTTTCATCTGCGACACTTTCACACCTATTTGCAATACATCTATCATAGAGACACTTCCGCAAAGACTGCATGGCTCCGATACCAGAAACAGAATCTGCAAGCCATCTGTGGCGGGGCAAAAGATGGAATGGGCGAAGAGGATATCCTTCAGATTGAGGGCTCCCACAGAAGTCCCAACATGTACAGCCTTTTCTGGCCGGTAGTACAGCTCCGAACGTTTGAGCCAAACCTATAGGACCTAAGCCCCATGAGCCTACCATTGGCAGTGGGAGTGCCCTGAACCCTCAACCAGCCCATGTCGGCCCTATGAAGCACCCGAGATCTGAAACCGAAGTGCCGCACAAAGAGCTGGGCAAGGGTTCCAAGGGCCTTCTAGCTGCAGTATCACCACTTCCATTGCCACTAGTCCTACCTACTACCTAGTCCTGCTACCTAGTACCTATTACGTACTACTATTACTAGTCTACTACTACTACTACTACTACTACTACTACTACTACTACTACTACTACTACTACTACTACTACTACTACTACTACGACTACTACTACTACTACTACTACTACTACTACTACTACTACTACTACTGCTACTGCTACTACTATTACTACTACTACGACTAGTTTCCATTGCCACTAGTCCTACAGAAGGGGACGCCGTGGACGCTTGTTTCTTCCTTGTCGGTTGTGTTCCCAGCCGGTGCCCTGACTTAATGACTTAATTTTTTTAAGTCATTAAGTCAGGGAACCGGCTGGATCCAAGATCCAAGATTGCAGGAAAAAGTTTCTTGGATCCAGCCGGGGCCCTGACTTAATGACTTAATTTTTTTAAGTCATTAAGTCGGGCCCCGCCCGGATCCAAGATGGATCCAAGAAACTTTTGTCTGCAATCATGGATCTTGGATCCAGCCGGGGCCCTGACTTAATGACTTAATTTTTTTAAGTCATTAAGTCGGGGCCCTCCCGGATCCAAGATCCAAGATTGCAGGAAAAAGTTTCTTGGATCCATCTTGGATCCAGCCAGGACCCTGACTTAATGACTTAAATTTTGAACTCATTAAGTCGGGGCCCTCCCAGATCCAAGATGGATCCAAGAAACTTTTGTCTGCAATCTTGGATCTTGGATCCAGCCGGGGCCCTGACTTAATGACTTATTTTTTTTAAGTCATTAAGTCGGGGCCCTCCCGGATCCAAGAACCAAGATTGCAGGAACAAGTTTCTTGGATCCATCTTGGATCCAGCCAGGACCCTGACTTAATGACTTAATTTTTTTAAGTCATTAAGTCGGGGCCCTCCCAGATCCAAGATGGATCCAAGAAACTTCTTTCTGCAATTTTGGATCTTGGATCCAGCCGGGGCCCCGACTTAACGACTTAAGTTTTTTACGTGTTTAAGTCGGGGCCCCGGCTGGATCCAAGATTCGAGATTGCAGAAAGATGTTATTTTTGGATCCATCTTGGAGCCGGGGCCCCGATTTAAACACTTAAGTTTTTCCAAATCTTTAAATCGGGGCGCGTGGCTCTCGGAGCGGGTCCAAGAATTTTTGTTTCTGCAATGTTGGGTCTCGGACCCAGGGGGCCCAGCATTGCGTCTGTCTGCCACATAACGGAAACCTCAATGGAATTCCACCTTTCCACATGTGCTGCGTCCAAAGCCACAGAGCTTTGCACATGTGGAGATGTGGAATTCCATTGGGCTTTCCATATTTCCAAACCTGTTGACCTTAATTCTGCAGAGCTCAGGATCATAGGGCTCCCAATAATTATGTACTATAGTCTATTCCACCAAACCAGACTACAGGTGTGCCGCTGATATACTATAGTAGCCATTTGTTTTTACACCATTGCGACTATGCAACACTGTAACGTCCAAGGTTATCCTATATTGCGTTGGTGCTAGACTAGGCTATATTTGAATGTAGTAAGTTGCACTACCATATACCAAGCCCCTTTGTGCTATGCTGGATTGCACGATACCGCATTGCATTGCATAGCAGTCGACACAGTACCACTCAATATTTGATAGTTAATCGTCATCTATGCTCGAGTTTACTGTACTGGGTTTGCCCGTATTGAAAGGTACTACATTGCACTTTGCTATACTAGACTGCATTACACCATACTAGATTATGGCGTCAATGCTTATCTTTAATACATTGTACTATGCTACGCTCTAATAACCTAAATTGAAACATTGTATATCATATCATATGCATAGCCGATACAAGCAATTGAAGGCCCTTCGATTAGTCCAGTGAAAGAAGATTAGCCTAATGGGAAGTCGAACTCGTGATTTTACTCAGTTTACTCATCGTATACGTTGACATAACACACACACACACTACCAAAGAAAGCACAGCCTCAATTCGTACTTGCGATATACCCCGCCATTTTGGCACCGAGAGTACTGCGAGCAGATACCCTGTGGTGTCGACCCCGAGCTTTGTAAGTGGATATATGGTGTGCATGGTACCACATTCTTCGGTTCATGCACGCAAATCGCTCTTTCTATGACCTATGCTCGTGCTTTATATAGTGAACTAGAACTGACGGCAGAATAGTACACTAGGCTCCTGACTATAATTCGCTATACTATGCTAGCGCACTATACCTTGCTATATCATGCTATGCTCTACTATACCCTCCTAAAATAGTAAACATAGTAAACAGGGCCATGCAACAGTGTATTTTCCTACACCATGCTGCGGTAGTGCTATACTAGACTATCGTATCCCATATAGTGTATGCTGTACCACACTGCAATATAGCGTCAACACTACAATATGCTATCGTGCACTTTACTGCCAATGTCATATCACAACATATTGTAATACACTAGATAGAACATAAGGCTGATCTCTGTCTTCTACCTTCGACCTACAGTATTCATATTCAACAGGTTCGTATGATATCAGACTACCATAATCTGTATCTATAGCGCAGTATGCAGCTGTTCTGTATCATGCTATACTACACATACATGATGAACTAGACTGTATGTCGCAACACTGCACTACCATATTACGGGGCACCATGCCATATTATATCTTACGCTCCAGTATACGGGCACCATGCCATATTATATCCTACGCTCTACTATACTATACCCTACTCTTGTATGCACATGCGAAAAGTACCACAATGCCACGCCTGGTGCCTCATAGGTTATATTAAAGCCCGGCCGGATCCTGGTCAGAGGTTTTTGGGTAAGCTTAACATTGGTTCATGAGAAGCTTCATGAGGAGCAAGCAGGCCATAAGATAGAATCTACCGAGAATACATCGTAATTCGCGCTGTTTCATATGGCGTCTATCTATAAAGAGCCTTGGACCAAGGTAATATACGGATAGGAAACTACATGAAGGTGGGTCTTCGAAGGGGTGACCGTGGCTGCTTCTGGATGGGTGTTGCTCATTTTATGTTTTCGCCTGCTTGATGTTGTGATCCGGTGTGGAACAAACAAGCGTCCACAGCGTCCTCCTCCCTAGTCCTACCTGCTACTTGGTACCTACCTAGCTACTACCAACTACCTGTTACTACTGCTACTACTGCTGCTACTACTACTACGACTACTTCTACGACTTCTGCTACGACTACTACTTCTGCTACTACCGCTACTACCACTACCTACTACAAGTAAAACTACTCTAGCCAGTTTAAGTTTTTGATTTTAATTGATTGTTTTTGATTCCTTACTCCTCTGTTTTGCTGTAGTTTTGTTGTCTAGATACTGCTTTATTTGATTTTTGAATTCCTGGTTTTAATCTTGGTTTTGATCTTTGTGGATTAATTTCTTGTTGATCCTATAGTTATTTTTGATCCGCCACCTTACACTCTTTACTAAGCCACCAGCGCCTCAACACTCTGCATATTCACAGTCCCTAGAGAACCCAATACCCCTTAATTCAGGAATGTACCTTAAAATAATAGGGGCCTTAATAATATGATTTAAAGCATATTCCTTAATTAAGGGGTATTGGGATCTCTGGGTCAAGTCCCAGGCCGGTGCTGCCGGGCCAGAGCTGGCTGCTGCCGTCACAAACGCGGGAGGCACACGGTGCGGTCATGAGGTGCTGGGATCAGGTTGGCTCTGGTTCATAAACCATCATAAATCCAGAACCGTCATAGATCAGCAAAGCACGAACGTAGGTAGCACTGCGCATGCTCATACACAAACAGATCGCAGGTAGAAATAGAAGATTGTGGCACGGCATATGTTTTATGCTGACCATCGCTGGGATGGGAATGTTCGTAAGGATATTTTGAATGCGAGTCACACGGAAGTCCTGTTGTCGACCTATTTGCCGTCGCGATTGACTTACAAGCACTTTGGAGCAGAGATGACTCGTTCAAAGCTCACCATGTCAGCAACAGGCTGATGCATGTTTGCATGCAATCGTTTCAGGTTTGGGCAACATCGGTGCGACGCTCGGTGTTCTCTGCCAGTGAGTGATCGCTGTTGACCGAAGCCGAGATAAGTATGTTGATGCTCGTAGTGTTGTTCTTGCCGGGGATGCCTGTAGAACACGGTCCATTCTTCCATTCGTGTTTGTGAATACAGCTACAGCCACGATTATGTTCCTGATATTGACGAAGGCGGTGATGACAGTCATGGGGATTGGCATTCGCAGTAAGCATGGACAGAGACACCTCCCATGCCCTTAATGTCACAGCTCGTTATCCTTACATGTCTTGGTTGCGGAGTGCCATGCCAAGTATTCTTCCGACAAGTCCGGAGCTGCTGGCTGGCACCGGTACTCGTGATCCGTCCTCCACGTTAACTTGACCAAGTGGGAGTGTAATTAATTGGCTTCAATGCCGAGGTGGCGTCGGCTACACGCCCGAAGCATTGCGCAAGACCATTGGGATGCTGAAGAAGGAGCTAGATCATCGAGCTCGTTTGTCAGCAGCAGCGGGCTGTCTAGCATTCTAGCGACTACAATCTACTGTACAAGCGCAGAACCACTGTAGAGATGGAGAGATGGCTCTCATGAAGGAGCTGAAGGACAAGAATGCACCTTTTGGAGTGGACTTGCTACTGCCGCAGGCCTCTCTGCGCGAACTACGGCTTCAGGGTTAATACATATACTAGCACAAGTACGAGTGGAAGCAGTAGTAGTAGGGGGAGGAGAAGGAGGAGGAGCAGTAGCAACAGCAGCCACAGTAGCAACAGCAGCATTAGCAGGTAGCAGCAGCAGCAATGGCGGTAGTAACGGCAGCAACAGTCGCAGTAGCTGTAGCAGTACTGCACTAGTACTAGTACCAGTATTTGAACTAGTACTAGCGCTAGTAGTAGTCGTCGTGGCAGTAGTACTAGTAGTAGTAGTAGTAGTAGTAGTAGTAGTAGTAGTAGTAGTAGTAGTAGTAGTAGTAGTAGTAGTAGTAGTAGTAGTAGTAGTAGTAGTAGTAGTAGTAGTAGTAGTAGTAACAATAATAATAATAACAATAACAGTAGTAGTAGTCGTAGTAGTAGTCTTAGTAGTAGTAGTAGTAGTAGTAGTAGTAGTAGCAGTAGTAGTAGTAGTAGTAGTAGTAGTAGTAGCAGCAGTCGTAGTAGTAGCAGTAGTAGTACTAGTACTAGTACTGGTACTACAATACTACTCTATATATATATATATATATCTACACAAATAGATCGAGTTTCATAATTATGATGCAGTGTTTCTGCGCGCCCACAGCAGGGCAGCTACGTTGAGCTGCTTGGGGGCCTAGTAGGGGCCTCGGAGCTGTGTAGGGGTACGTAGTAGTAGTAGTAGTAGTAGTAGTCGTCGTCGTCGTAGTAGTAGTAGCAGTAGTAGTAGTAGTAGCAGCAGTCGTAGTAGTAGCAGTGGTAGTACTAGTACTAGTAGTAGTAGTAGTAGTAGTAGTAGTAGCAGGAGTAGTAGTAGTAGTAGTAGTAGTAGTAGTAGTAGTAGTAGTAGTAGTAGTAGTAGTGGTAGCAGTAGTGGTAGTAGTGGTAGTAGTAGTAGTAGTTGTTGTTGTTGTTGTAGTTAGAAGTCCTAATTAGTGCTTGTCCTGGTCGTAGGCCTAGTCAGTCCTAGGCGTAGCCCTGGTCCTAGTGGTAGTAGTAGTTGTAGCAGCAGCAGCAGCAGTAGCAGTAGTAGCAGATTCAGCAGCACTAGCAGTAGCAGACGCCGTAGTCGTCGTTGTTTTTAGTAGATATACCTAGCACATGCATTACTGCCATGGCTACTCATCCGGCCCAACTCTCGACGGATAACTACGAGTACGCCGCAGGCAGACGGTTCCAATCACCCATGGCCTCCATGCACAGGTCGGAGGCGGAGCTCGGAAAACCAACAAGGACTACACAGGCGGAACTCTGCCGCAGCTGCTTGGAGTTGAAAGATAGCAGCCCCTGCGGTGTGAAGAAAAAGAATTGGTTCTGTGAGTCAGTTGCAGTGTACGCGGAAGAAGATGGCATGCAGCATTCGCCCTATCGATTCTAATCGTGGGAAGCTGATCTCTAGAGACTGTTTTTCGAGCTCAAGCAGAAGAATGGTTGCGGAAATGTTCAGTGGGTTTGATTTAGCATTTTTGCTTAGGCGCAGCCCTCTGCAACTGAGACTTGACCAGTGCTTGCCGGCATGTCAAACAAGTCAATACAGTGTACTATAGTCTCCTTAGGAATTACTGTTTATTTTTGTTCCTATAAAACCCAAGAGAATAACAAACATATTATCATTATTATTGTTATTATTAGCATTATTAGTATTATTAGTATTATTATTATTATGATTATTATTCTTATTCTTATTATGTTTCTAATGGGGGTATAGTGTAAGCATGGCCAGCCTCTGTCCGGTCCTGTAAAGTGAAGTTCACAGACTCGGTCATCATCCCATGCTCATGCCCTCTGATCTGGAAGCATGGCGTAGCATATGCGCAAGGCTGGTAGACATCATCATTGAGGAGAAGGTGGATTCGGATGATCAGAGCTTCACAGACTGTCTAGAAGTTTTAGAACTGAAGCCATCCTTCAGCCCTGCCGGCGGCTCAGACACATATCATATAGGTTGTATATGTATGGCATGGTGTGGTATGTCGTGTGTGGTGTTTGCTGCTTGGTATGTGGTATGTGGTAGGCAGTACGTGTACGTGGCATGCGGTATGTGGTATGCCGTGTGTGGTGTTGGATGGCATGGCATGGCATGGAATGGCATGTATGTACCCATGTATGCATGACTGTACGTTTGTACCTACATATACATGTCAGTCTGTCTGTCCGCAGGTATGCCTGTCGTACATACGTCTGCATGTCTGTCTGTTAGTTTGCTGCGTGTGCGTCCTTGTACGTACTTTCGGTCTGCATGTTAATTACTTCTTTATGTATGCATGTATGTACGTATGTACGGACAGATACTTCGATAGATAGGCAGACAGGTAGACCACTGTGTGTGTGAGTGTGTGTGTGTGTGTGTGTGTGTATTTGTGCATGTGTATATACGCTGGATAACAGCTACTGCTGCTCTGCAGGCAGCACTGTTCATTTGCGCTGTCGGTGTGCCGCCCAAGTGGGCCGTGGACAAGTTTCACAACGCCGGCATTCCCGCTGCCCGACTATATTCCTGCACACAGGAGCGGGACAGTTCAAAGGAAGGGAGTAGTCGTTTGGGTGTGAAACTTTCGTGCCCGCTCCTTGTACGTTGCAAGCATGCATTTCTACGTACACCTACACACGTCTGTGTATATATCTATGTGTGTACTGTATTTTATATATATATATAGAGAGAGAGAGAGAGTAATGTTCATGTGTACGTGCGTGTATATGTAAGTGTGTGTACATATCCTTATACATGTAGATGTATACATATATACATATACGTATAGACACATACACTTTTATGTGTGTATATATATATATATATGTATATATACACGCATGTCTGTATATGTGTGTTCGTATTATCCCTGTCTACTTGTGCACGCATCAGATACATATATATATATATATATATATGCACGTATGTATAGATTACGTGTGTGTGTGTGTGCATATATATATATATACATATATATATATATATGTATATGAATTTCGGACGTAGGATTTGCGGGGATGTCCTTGCTAGGTTAGGTTGGCAAGATGTCCTTGTCCTGTGGCATTGTATTTCATTGCGAAGGTCATGAACATGATCGGCGCCGTGAAGCACGTTGACAAGGCTGTGGAAGCAGGCGTCGTCACTTGGCACTGCCGTGAGTTCTTGTGTGCCGTTGTGAGAGTGTCGCATGAACTTGGTGATTCGAGATATCACGTTTGTGCATGCTCTTGCCTTTTCATTCGAAAACTTCTGCCAAGGATATCATCTGCGCTCAGGGTGGCGAGGGCGGCGGCCACACAGGCATTACCGAAGCATGCAGGTTCACAAGCTCATAGCTTGCTCATTGCCTGTAGACACTTGCAGTACTGCACCCTCGTACTTGCAGTCTGCATAATATACATATATATATATATATATATTCATATACATGTATATATTTATATATTCATATATACATTAATATACTAATATACTAATATATATATATATATATATATATATATATATATATATATATATGTACATACTACGCCGGCAGTGCAGAGGCTGATGCACCTTCAGTTTGAGTTGACTTGCTTAAAGGGCTTTTGCACCGCTGTTGCTGTTGCGGGAAATTGTTCCCGTGAATGTCACTCTCATATATGCCGCAGAAAGCTCCACATCTTGCGACTGGGAAGAAGCAGCTTTCATGCCTGTTTTCGCCGAGTGAATTCGACATCTACAGACAACAGTAGGAGCTGAGTTTCCGCAGGAACAGCTATTTTGCATCCCTGAGCAAGGTGACACAGCCACGGCCATCTTGCTGCCCAAGGTGGTCGATGCCGTCAGGGGGAAGAAGTCCCCGCTGACCGGAGGGCCCATCCAAGTGGTGCCTCGTCTCTGAGAAATCGGCTTCTGATATGGCATGCCTTGGTCTTCGACAAAAACACTGATATGCAGTACCTGCAGGGGTTCCATCCAAACTCCAAATGATGCAGGCCGTACCGTTGTTACTCGGAAAGCGCGAAGTCGAGTCTTCGCGAAGGACATCATCCGGTCCGTGCGGCACAGTTCCGCTCTCGCCCTCGTCGAACGTGAATGTCTTCTCAGGTGGCAGCTGGCGGTATCTTCGACGGGCGGGGATTGGCCTCGGCACTGGCCATTGGCTGCACGGGCGTTTGGGTGGGCACGCGCACCTCGGAGGCTTGGGGGTTTAGCAGGACTTTTGGTGGTTCTGGGCCTTTGGGAGAACTACTTTGTCTGCGATGTGTTCTGACCGTTTAACGTATGTATTCTAGATTTCGAGGTGCTGGCATGTGCCCCTAGTTGCTCATAGTAACAGCAAAATCTCTGAGAGCTGCAGGAAGTGGAGCCTTTAATTTCGACGGTGTCTCAATATTCAGGTGTTGGATGGTGTTGGTGTAGTTCGGGGTTCCGTGCATCTTCAAAAGTGTTGCTACAATATCTTCAACTGGACATCAGCTGGTTCCACCAGCGCTTAAACGGTGATGTTGTAGTTTGAAACATGCTACAGGAGACCGCTTGTCGGTGCGCATGGAGGAGTTTCCACTAAGGTCAACAGTGAGCCCCCTATTCACAGAAGATGCTTCATCCTTGGACATGTGTACAAAGGTTCAAGTTCAATGACCCACGATCTGCATTAACGCTCCCAGGCCATGAAAGGCAGAGAGCCCCCTCAAGAGTGTAAGGGGAGATAACATGTCCCAACACCAACACCACGGGTGCCGGCCTTGAGTTCAGTTCCCATAGCTTCTTCGATGCTTCAGACGCTTAGAATCAGGTGATACAGCCTCCGGAAAATCCTAGAGTATTCCTAGAGAGTTGTTGCTGTTCGCAGGTCTCACGATGTCGTCCGGGTTCGATTCGGACCGATCCCTCCCCGCTCAGTACAGAAGTCTTGCCACAAATGCCTTGTCATGCTCTGCAGCATCGCAGCAACTGTTTAGCTACCTCTCGAGTATAGTGTAGTGCAGCTCCACAACCGGTTCCACTCATTGAAGATATAAGATGTTGGACTAAGGCTTCATTTGCTCAGATGAAGCCGGTGCTGGCCCCTTCCACAAGCAGCGCATCATGGATGCGGGCTTTAGCGAGTCTTGGCTCAACGGCTGCTCCACGGGAAATGGTGCGTGAAACCTGTTATGCTCCTGAAAATTAAGTTTGGGGTACATGGGGTTGGCGACAAGTCATGAGCCTTGACCTGGGGCAGCATGATTCTGGGGCACTGTTACATACGCAAGCAAACTCAGCAAGGAAGGTTGAACGTGTGTACATCTCTCTTTATATCTCTCTTTGCTGACATGTGTGTGTGTATATTTATATTTATATTTATATGTATATTTATATTTATATTTATATTTATTTATATATATGTATTTATTTATTTACATATGTTTGCTTGCATGTGTCCGTATATGCAGACGTACATATACATGCAAGTGTGCAAGCATGCATGTGCAGAGACATGCAGGTACACATGTAGATACTCTAGCAGCAGTTTGTATAAGCAAAGATAGATCTGGATTCCGTATGCATGTGCTTGTCTGACGGCCTATCTCACCATCTATCGAGCTATCTTCCTTACGACCTATCCATCCATCTATCCTCCCATCTATCCTCCCATCTATCTGACAAACTGTCTTTCTAGATGTAGGTCAAGCACGCGCTGCAGCATGAATTCTGGCTCTCAGCGAGAGCGCACTGCTACAGCTACAGTAGATATCAACAAATCATGTACCAAAGGTTCCCACTCCAAGACCACGGAGGGACATGGATCATGATCCTGCTGGGGTTCTTCCTTTGAAACACTCTCTGAACCAAAAGCAAAAAGCTTGGCCTTCTGGCCGGTGCTGCCCGTGACTCATACTGTTGATGGACGAAATCCTGCATGACCCTAAGGACTCTACACTATGGGAACTATGGTATATTCCTTATAAAGAGTAATGCAGGATTTTGTCCATCAGCAGTAGGACACCCTCCGGACCACCATCTACACTGGCCGTCCGATGCGAAACTCGGCATAGTAGCTTTCGAGTTTACCAGGGTGAGGGTTTGGATTAGGGCCATTTTGGGGTTTAGGGTTTATGGGTTTAGGGCTTTGGGTTAGTGCTTTTTGGGGTTTTAGGCGAGAGTCTGGGATCTAGGCTTCTAGACCTCGGCTGCCGGAGTCTTGCCATAACTTACCTTTGGTTAGCAGGGAATGGAAGAATGGTAGTACTAGTAGTTATAATTGTACCTCATTCCCCCATTCCCTACTAACCGTTACTAACCAAAGGTAAGATATAGGATTATTAAGGCCCCATATTATAGTACCCTTATAGATCCCTTATAGTAACCCTTGTATTCTCGGGTCCTGGTCGATGTCTAAGGGCCCTCAAAGCTGGCCCTAGAGACTCAAGACTGCCAAGCTCTTAAATCCCAACTTCAAGCTTCATGGGCAGCCATAAATGAGCTTAAAAGGGAAGTGGCTACAACTAGTTGTAGAGATAGTTGGCTTAACTAGTGCATGCAGTCTTTAAGATGATTGCCGGTGAAAGTCGTAAGAGCTAACGCGACATATGTCGGGGCTTCCATTCATCTGCCACGCACGCCCCTTAAACACTTAAAGCCTCAGAACCCTATGCTACCTATGCCTGGATGGGAGTGAGGCTTCAAGGTTCAAGCTTCGGGCAGGGTTTGGTTTGGGGCTGTTGAAGGGTCTAAGGTTTCGGGGGCTGGGGGGGCCAAGAAACAGTGGCCTGTTCAAGCAATCCGCTTGGCCACTGACCACAACCTCAACTGCTACAGACTGTTGGACTTCGTTTTGAGTGTTGGACTTCGTTTTGGGTGTTGCAGAACGGATTGCAGTGCTGGACTGCAGGCTGCTGTCACGGCTAAAGGGAACGGCTTCTGACCAGAGGGATCTAAACCCAAAGTTGAAACTGTTGGTTGGAGAGTCGTTCGAACCATCGGTACTTAAGCAACAGGAACCTCCTACAGAAGGGCTGATCAACGCAACATGTCGAACTTCATCAGATAGATGATGACAGGATTTCAAACCGAATCTCTCAAGAACACAAACGGACCGCCACGGTAGGAAATCTCAAACCAAGAGAATCCTCCAAGCCATGCCTGAGGAGTGCTGAAGACCCCGTACGTTCAGGACTGGGAGCAGAATCGAACGCAGGAGATGAAGGAACTCCAGGCCACTCCCAGAGTAGGGCATAGGAAAGCGATCCTAGAATTGGCGAACAGAAGTCGTCGCAGTACTATAGACCGCTACTCCTGCTCCTACTCTTACTATTCCTACTCCTCATCCTCTTACTAATTCCACGACAACGACTACTACGACTACTACTACCACAAGCCCTACTGCTACTGCACCTACGAAGAACAGGCATGCTCCCATACTTATTTGTTCTGCATCTCCAAGCATTTGCTGGTGGTCTTGGCAATATCGTTCTGCTTTTTGCCGTCGTCATCGCTCGATCCTGGGCAACGATGACACTGTAGGGATAGGGGGTTAGGGTGCCTTGCAGGCTTCGGGCGTCCCCCCTTGGGTCAAAGACGTCGAGAACCTCTCAGACCTGGAAGGAGCGGCTTTAGGGCTTTGGGCTTAGGGCTTCGGGTTTAGGGCTTAGGGCTTCGGGCCAGTATAGTGGCTTGGGAGTTAGGTTTGGGACCTATTCTCAGGATTTACGATGCAGCTTTTGGATTTGGGGTTTGGGAAGTTTTTTCGAGGTTGGGTGAAGGTGCTTTGGTGGTTTAGAAGAGTAGAACTTGAGATGTGGGGGCTTGGAACAGATCCCTATATTTCAGCTGCGGCCACGATCCTCAGCACTAATGGCCGCAGGAGATATCTGTGAGAGATATCGTTCTGTAGCATGTGCACGGTCGGTCCTTGTTCCACTGTTTTTCAAGCACTGCAGACATCTGGACAACGAAGCCTGATCAGCCCACCGGCACAAAATGAAATGCCGAAGATAGGATAGGATTTCGAATGCTTGCTACTAGTAGTCGCTAGTGCGAGTGGCAAGAGCACCAGTACACAGGAGGATTGTAGGGTTTTAGGAAAGGCCTCATCCCCACAGACCCAAAGTCCATAAGGCCTTGAAGCCTCGACCCTCAGCCCTCAGCCATCCTGAGCTCATTGGGACGTTTAGGGGGGGGTTAGGGGGACGGGGGGGGGTAGGGGCCTGAATAATCATAATAAGGACTTAATAAGGCCTATCCCCTTCTAACGGCCCCTATGAGCCATCCTGAGCCCACCTCCAGGCGGCGCCAGTGTGGGCCTGCTTCAGCAGGCCGAAGTTCTCACCCAGGAGGCCAGCATGAACATGCATGTTGTCATCATTTCCATGATGGTGATGATGATCATCATCATGTTATGATGATGATGATGATGATGATGGTGTGAAGATGAAGATGAAGAAGAAGATGGTGATGATATGATGGTATGACTTGTAGCAGTCTGATTTTTAGCATGCTCAGCATTGGTGTTATCACTAGGCTTTGCATCGTCGTCGTCCTGGTCGTCCTCGTCGTCGTCGTAGAAGCACCACGAGCAGCAGTAGTAGTCCTGCAGTTGTGGTCGTCTTCATGGTTGTAGTCGTAGTTGTCCCTGGTGGAAGTGCTGGTGTTGGTGTTGTTATTGTTCTTGCTGTTAAAGTACCACTGAGCAGCTATGGCCGTTAGGATGAACGGATTGCGAGTTGGGCTGCCGGCATTTGATGAAACTGCATCGGGCTGCCACGTGCCAAGCAAAGCAGAAAAGAGGTCCGTGAAAAGATTCACAAACCCTGAACACCCTCCACCTGAAGCCAATCAAGGGGTACAATCAGGGAAAGCACGACCTCAAGTCTAGATAACCCTTCTCCCTCCATTTGTCAGGAGAAGAAGAACGGGTTGCAGCACCTGTTTTGCAGACTAATATGGGGCAGGGTGGTGGGATGGGCGAGTTCAGGGTGTCGGGTATTGCAGCTCGTTTACCTTCCTACGGTGGTTTGTGCTTCGGCTGTGACTGAGCCTGCACTCCCTTCCTCTGTAAAAATATCTTCTCAAGTATGCACTTCATATGCCATTATACATACATGTGCACATACATAGCAAAATTTTCCCGCACACACATGTACGTCTATGTATTAATACATATATATATACATACATATACACACAGAATCTACATCCATGAAGAGACGGGCGAAGAGACATGCGATTGCCAGATCGGACATCCACACCCAAGTGCCAGGGAGGTCCTGTCGTCCTAGCATCATCTAGCATCACATGTTCCGCCGGCCATACAGTCCTGCAGCGCTCAGCCCCAACGGCAAGCCTTGCCCCTACTCCTTTGACTCATCATGCTTGGACGTTCGCTTGTTTATTTCACGACTAGCGAACCTCGAGCTTGAAAATCGGAAGTCAAGATAAGCCCTTAAAGGTGTGGGCGTGTACAGTTGGCTCTGGAGAGGTTTGGCGTTTATGGTTGAGACACCACCCGCCCCACCCGCCCCACCCCCCCACCCCCACCCCCCGGCCCTCGAAAAAAGCCAAATGCCTGAATCCTAAAGCCGCAACTCCCAAGGCTCAATCGGCGACAGATCCGAGAGCGAGGCGTCTTCTTGGCCGGCCAGTGTGCCGGAGCTATCGAGGTTCCCTGACTAGTCCGACAGAAGTGAGGATTAGGGTTTAGGGTCTAGGGTTCGCCTGCGCAAGAGAGGAAGAGATAAGAGACACACAGAGAGGGATACGAGACAAGAGACGGGATCCTTGGGGAAAGGGCTTTAAGGTCTTGCTGGGCTTTTTCTGCGCTCAATTCACGGTTGCAGTTTGACCCAGGCCTCCAGCGTTGGCAGAGGTATAGGTCTCTGAGCAGACCTTGCCAAAAAATGTTGAGTGTGGAGGCGTCGGCAAGTCTGATGCATGGTAGGTGTCGACATGCATAGGAAGTCATTGGAAGGGATCTTCTCCGCAAAGGGCTCGGGATCGAGGGGTTCCCATAGCATCCCCACAAAGTCCAATTAATCAGCAGCCTTGAGCTCCAAAACCTTATTCCAAACTCCCAAGATTCGAATTTCCCCGGCCTGCCAGGATGTGAAGCCTGCAGGGCAGATCGTGGAGGAGATGGTCCTGCAGGCTGCAGAGCAGCTGAAGGTCGCAACTTGTACAGCACTTGAGACTCGTAGCAGTCAAAGCAGGTCGTATCAGACAGAGCAAGGACAAGACGAATAGCGATAGGTCTCCCTTGGTGATACATTGGTCACAGCATCTTGTCCATCCCTAGTAGAAGAGTACAGTTATGATATGCAGAGAAACGTAAGATGTAGCTCGGCCGTGATTTGTCAGCACGTTTGGCCCAGATCAGCTTGTATCCGAGAGCCCGGACCGCTAAAGATTCCGCGTAACATATGGGCCCAAACAATTACCAATACACTCCCGATGTTAATTATTCGAAGTAAAATATAGTATGCCCCAAAGCCCCATGCTCATTATTGCGGCCCCTATCTTTCCACCCGAGACCTTAAAGCCCTGGAGCCGACCCCTAAACCCCAAAGGCACACGAAGCATCCCAAGGCAAGCACCTTCCTGGTGTCCAAGCTGTGAGAGCTTGGCGCTGCCTTCGGCTTTGGCTTTGTCTGGGGGGATGTGGAGATCTACTGTGCTAGCTTCGGTTATAGAGCGAATGTACATACAAGTGTTGAGGGGTGGAACGATGAGGGATGGGGGGCCTACAGGATTAAAGCGGTGTAGAAAGGTGCACTTCGAGCGTAGGACTCAACTGCGCCGTTCCCAACTTGGCGCTAGGAATTTAAGATCAAAGGTTTCGGTTTGGGACTCACAGTTATAAGAACATCACGACTGGTCGCGCTGTCCCACATGACAAAGAACATATCGTCGTCCCAGCTACCCTGATCACCACTGGCTCTTTGTGGTTGATCGACACTCTGGTTTCAATTCGTAGAGGCCTTTAAAGACACAGCCCAAGTCAACCTTGGGTTGTGCAGGTTTTCGTGGAGGCCGTTTTGAAGGCCACACGGCTCTTCACCCTAGGGGGTCGATGTTTTGTGAAAACTTGACCATGCAGAGACCCTCTGCGGGGTGAGGCATTGCGCTAGTCAACGTGTCATGAGAGCAGTTGTCGAAAGTAAACTTGTTGCTTATGATGCCTTTCTTTGCATCGCGTTGACAAGGCAAGTGGCAAGAGGTCACTTCGCGAGCAATGGCAGGGAGCAGCAAGTAAAGTCATAAACTCGCTTGGGCGTAAAGGCACCGGAAAAGGCATTACATCCCAAAGTTGGCCACGAGAGCACATGATCATGAGCAGTTTTTAGTCTTCAGCATCATCATCATCATCCTCACCATCGGCATCGGTCTAGCGAGTTCTCTGAGCTGTTGTCCAGCTGCGGCCCTCACTTGAACGTTTCTTATGCAGGACTTCATGATCCAAGGCCGGGATGCTTCCGGAAACACACCTTGTTCTTTGTTTGGCTCATTCGGGCTTTTGTGATGCTTTGGATATGTCAGCTTTGAGGCCCCTGGCATCCTTGTTGTCCGAGCTTCGGAGTCTTCAGAAGTGTTGGACAGGTTTCGTCTTGCTTTTGGGGGTTGCGGCTTAGCAATTATGGTTGGGGGTGGAGGTGTACGAGCAGCCTGAAGCACCCAACTTTCGCAGTCTTCGTTCCTTAGCTGTCACGGAAGTACATGCAGCAGCATTGGGAGCTGCAGCAGACGTGGCTGCTCAGAGCCAGCTGTTTCCAGCCAACCCTCAAGGGCAGGACATGGTAGTGCTAAGCCGGTGTCCACTGGGGCACATGACAGGATCCCGCGGCGACTTTGCAAAGACTTGTTTAGAAAAGCAGGTTGTCTACCGTTAGCATCCATTAGCTACTCGAAAATTACAGTTCCACGCGTGCGAAGAGGCGGCGACTTCACCAAGGGCGACGGTACCGGTGGCAAGTCCATCTATGGTGCGCCCCTCACTCACATGTGTGACACACCACCCATGTTGGCCACAGCCTGGGCCTAGAGCAGAGCTCATTTGGCTTAGGGCCCCAGGGAAACAGAAGCGGGTGCCAGAGGAAGCGCAAGTCTCCACAGGCGGTTCACTGAAAGCTCAGACTTTCCAGGTGAGAAGTTCGCAGACGAGAACTTCAAGCTGAAGCACAAGCGACCAGGCGGGAGTCTTTCTTATGATCCTTTCATAATAAAGATGAGGTAACTAGCGTTTCCCTTGGGTTGGTTTCCTGTTGATTGGTCAATAGGTCAATTGGGGGGTTTACCTCGAATCATAGCACGTTGAATGGGACACTACCACATCTTTGATTATGACGACACATATGGTCAGCGCCAGTGTGTTCCAGCGTTGCTGCTGTCAGTACAGATTGCTTAGGGCACGACCCAACTGAGAATATTGTTGAAGTGGCGGTTTTGGACGTTGTGTCCCGGGCTTCTAAACAGGTGTTAGAGAAACATCCCTATCCTACTGTTGAAAACTCTTCAAGTTGACGCACAGCAAGGCCATCGCTAATGCTTGTCCACGACCCTCATAAGTCCCTGGACCCATTTACATATTTACAATCTATATTATATATATATATATATACATATACATATACATATACATATACATATATATATATATATATGCACATACACACACATATACACATACACACACATACATACATACATACATACATATACATATATATATATATATATATATATGTATATGTATACATATGCACAAACATATGTATATATACATGTACATACATAAAAATGTGTGTGTGTGTGTGTTTGTGCTTGCGTGTTCAATTGATGTGTGTATATATATATATATATATATATATATATGTATGTATGTATATGTATGTGTATGTGCATGTGCATGTGCATGTGCATGTATATGTATATGTAAATGTATATGTATATGTATATGTATATGCATATGGATATGGATATGTATATGTATATGTATATGTATACATATATGATGCGTATGTATATATATATATAGTACCATATATGCTACCCCCCCCCTAAGACCCGCAAGAACTAGTAAAAGATCCTGATAATTCACTCCAGCATTCCTACATGTGCTATCCACGCGTGTGCAAAATACGGTGTAGACAAGATAATCTAGTGAAGTATTGCTGTTATCTGCTTAATAACTAGAATATTTGTCCAATTTGATACAGCATTACTGTAATTAATGTTAGGAATTACGCAAAACACAGTATAACCAAGATAATCTAGTGAAGTATTGTTTTGTTTGCCCTGGAGCAAAAAATGTAAATATTCTTATAAGATTTTAGACAATTTGATACAGTACTAGTACAACTGCTATTAGGAATTAATATTCAATTTTCCCCTTCCTCACTGCCATATGATAAGAACTGATTGCTTCGTTGGAAGTTCCGTAAAACATATTTCCTCAATTATTGTTTGTATGAGCCAGCCAAACAGGAACAGATAACCAAACAAGCTCCGGAGAAAACATCGAAAAGGAAAAGGAGTGTTTCTAATTGGCACACAGACAGACAAATCTCAATTCCTATCGTAAGCCCTAAGCCCTAGAGACCCTAGACCCTAAACCTTGAACCCTAAGCCCTAAGCCCTAGTCCCGAAGCCCTGGGTGTAGGTTCCAGGTCCCATTGAACGAACCTAGCTGTTGATTAACTGACTCATTGCACAATATGACATGATTTGGATGAGAAGCCGGCTGTCTTCTAGAACCATTGACTAGCTAATTTCCCTACATCGGCTTAATCCTTTCCCGTTGTAGGAAGTCACCCCTGAGAACTGAAATTAGTACTGGGCCCGGCGTGCAGAACATTAAGCGGGATTTGGGTTCGGCCTGTTTTGCAGCCCACGAACCCTGAAATTCTACATGTCTGTGGCCTGCGGCCTGCAAGTCACCGCAGCACTACATTTTCGAAACCAAGGCTGCCCGTAATCCTCTAGCTCCCAGCATTACCTGGTCCCACATTATTACGAGTACTGGCGTCAGATATTACCATCGTTGCCAACGCTTAGAGCATATCGTTTAGCTTGAGTGGTGGTATGAGTACTAGCATTCCGTAGTAGATTTCCCTGCTGGCCACTGATATCACCAGTCCCTCGTCCTGGCTCGTAGCATTCAATGTATCCGTGATAATACTCGCAAAATCGCTGGCGTGCTACATGGGTTAGTTCAAGCAGGGGCCAAACAACTCGTTCAGTTTACTGTCATAACTTCCATCATAAACTAAATTAAGAAAGCACGGATATACCACTAACAAATATTGCCAGTAAGTTGCTTAGGTGACTGGTTAAATCAACGTTTTTGTGTATACATACTACTGTGAGATACACTGTGCAAGCACCTGGAATTAGCTAATTATCTACATTACCATGGTCTGGTCATGTTTCAATCACGGGACAAGTGCATCCATTCACCAACCCATATGTTTTCAATTGCTTGCCTCTGGCATAGGGCTGTCAGAATGCAAAAGGTGAATAACAATTACCCGGCTTGGCAGCAAGTAGACTAAATATGTGCGTAAACCGTTTGAAATGGCTAGCTCCTTATCTTGATATAAGCAGAAAATTTAACCGACATGCATTTAGATACGCCCGCATGCATTTTAGAGGCTTCATTTTGGCAATGATAGTGGGTTCCTATACATGAGTTGGACTGATGAGTGGCCAAAAGACAACTAGTCTGGCACGTGACAAATGAAAATGAAGATATTATAAGCAGAACACTATAGAATATGTTTACTTAGTATTTCAAGTATGCTGATTAACCACAGGCATGGAGAAGCAACAAAAAGCTTTCACATAGGTTAACTTTTTGAATGATGCCGTTATTTGGATTTATGTTGAAAAGAAGCAAACAGGGTCTCTACACACACCGGAACAACAAATTTTTCCTGCCTTGGCACTACCAGATTCCTTTATGCGCACATGTATCAGCCTCTGTGCTTGAGAAAGAAACGAAATCTGGATGTCATGATGTTTCACAGGTTGTGATGTTTGGACACGAGTGTGAACGCCTTCGCATATGAAACATATACTAAAATATAGTTTTTGATAATATGTTGCAGATTCGCAGATTCGCGGATTCGCGAATTGGCAGATTCCCAGATTCGCAGATTCGCAGATTCGCAGATTTGACAGACCATAGGTTGTGGCGCATATATAGAATCTGCGAATCTGCGAATCTGCGAATCCGCGAATCTGCGAATCTGCGAATCTGCGAATCTGCGAATCTGCGAATCTGCGAATCTGCGAATCTGCGAATCTGCGAATCCGCGAATCTGCGAATCTGCGAATCTGCGAATCTGCGAATTCGCGAATCCGCAAATCCGCTGAAGTATCCGTCACAGCGAGGCCCTTTGAGCATCAGATACTTACACGTCGCGTCGCGAATCCCTCAAATTGAGAAGCCCTGAAAGACCCTGAACGTTATTGCAGCTGCATCCATGCCCCGATGAAGTTGGGCAAGTCGAGAGTACCTGACAGCGAAGCGTGGGTTTTGGGGGGGGGGTACCATATATATATATATATATATGCACACACACATACATGTGTGTGTGTGTGTGTCATCCCTGAAACTAAGGGCTAGTTTCTACAGAATGTGCTATTGTCACAGCAGGGGGCGGATGGACTCATTGCTCGGCATCCGCCAACGAAGACCCAAGCAATGCAGTCGTAAAGCGTACCTGCCATGGCAGTGCCTGGGCATTTGAGGATGTAGCTGGCATGCCCATGCAAGTGAGCCTTCAGCCCCTAAGACAAAATGCAGCAGCAGTACCATCTAGACACCGTTACGCTGATCAAGGCAAAGAAAGAAGGAGTCAAGTGTCCGATTGCCATCTGGATCACGAGATCCATGCAAGTGTGTGTGTGTGTGTGTGTGTGTGTGCGTGCGTCTCGCTGTCTCTCTTTGCAGTTTCGATGGCCGAACCCACCATAAGTACGTCGAAGAAACGTTTCAAGCCCCAAAGCTGGGACCAATAAAGAGGTCAATCCTTTGATGGGTTTTTGAAGCAGCTGTCAGGTCTCCTCTCCATGGCAAATGCCGGGAAGGCCATCGAAGGGACTTGGGGCTCGGGCGTAGGGTTTAGGGTTTAGCACTTGAGGCTTTTGCATTTGTCATGCAACTCGTTCTTAGGAATCGTTGAGCTGTCGCTTTTTGGCTGCAGCTCTTTATATGGGTAGTACCCCTGTGGTTGTCATATGCTTGCCATGGTCCAGTATGTTGCAATTGGGGGTGGCTGCCTTTGGAGTCCCGCAATCGCCTCGACTTGGATGTGACGTCCAGGGGGCTTCGGGCTTTCAGCAAGTCAATAGGGAGAGCTGGCGGGATGAGGGGAAGCTATATACGAGTCTCGTAAGTAGGACACTGGATTGGGGAAAGCTTGGGTTTCATGACGTTTTCTACATTGATTGTTTCCAACACTTGCTGATACCCCTTTCCAACTGCTGACCCTGATGGAGTGATTGGCGGTGTGCTACGACGCTTACCCGTGACTTAACTGTTCACTGTTCTTCTGGAGTGGCATGATAGTCACATCACCTGCATGCTGTCATCTGGTTGTTCCGTTGTGCACCAAACAGAAACCAAGTAAGCAGTTTGTAAGGAAGACTTTATGAGATTGCTTAACCCGTTGACGAAAATCATAACCTACTCCTTGGTCCCTCGACTCCAAAGCTTCAGGACACGAACGGCAGCCAGTTCTTCATTACCACCGTGACCACCCCTCACCTCGACGGCGTGCGGCTGAGATCCGTGCAGGAAATGCTGGACTTGGAAGCATGTCTCCTGCATTCTGGACATGTTTGTGCGACTGACAGCAGATAGCTGTCATGCACATTACAAGACCGTAACATAATTCTTGCAGCCCATCAACATGATGTGGTATGCTGTTGAATCACAGCACTGCGGCGGTCAAGTTTTTCTTCAGTCATGAGTCCAAGAAAGGATCTAATTCAATGTTTAGGATTTAGGGTTTAGGGTACCCCGTTGTCGTGTTTTCACCCTGATTTGGCTTAGGTCGGCACGTCGTCTTCGGGACCATCCTCGAGGGTATGAAGTTCGTGAGGGAGATCGAGAAGCAGAACGGCACGCCACCTGCAGAGGACTTGGTCTGGGGTTTCAGGGTTCACGTGGGTGAGGGTTTGAGGTTTATAGGGGTTTGGGATATGAGGTTGACGGTATAAGCTTTGAGATCTAGGGTGGGTTGAAAGAGGCTGTTGAAGACACCCCGACCGTCCATGTCATTCCGGCAGGTAGACACTTACCACTCGACGCGGTTCCTCCGGTTTGCCAGCTTAGGGCTTCAGTTGAGCCGCAGCTTGGTGGTAGCAGGAGTGCAAGATCGAGGATTCTGGGGAGCTTGAGCTGGAGAAGCCTTTCAAGGACCCGCTGGGAATTTCATGCGCCATGTTGAGGTGCTATGCAAAACGACGGAACGCCATGGCTTTCAAGCATTCTTTCTCTGCAGTGCTGCCCGCCAAGTTCAGGGGGTTCACCCCGAACCCTACCCCTAAAGTCCGGGTTAGGGTTGGGGTTAACCCGAACTCCAGCTACAGCTTCATGGAGCAAGAGCTACCAGACCCATCATGCGTGAGCGGAGCGAACACAGAAGAGCCTGCTCGATCGCCTTCCTGCAGGAAGGGCCAGGCTCAAATATTGCAGGGGCCTTATTGCTTAACAAAACCAGATGCTGATTATTGAGGCCCCTGTAGTATCACCATGGCTTGGGATTCTAAGAGTGCACACAACCCAAAGCCATGTCCTGCGAGGACTCGACCTACCGAGGGAAGCTGAACGAGGAGCTTTGAGTAGGCGTTGCCGCCGACGGCCTGCTAGGCTCACGCGGAACAGATGAGAAGCACGGGCCAGAACGACACAGGGGTATCAAAGCACGCGTGATATACCGGTGAGTTCTATAGACGTTCTTTCAAGAACCCGATACTGGACTCCCTGTGCCAGAGTGTCACAAGCTCGATCGTAGATGGAGGCACTTTCAACTTCCATTTTGTACGGATGTGCCTCTTCGGGTGTGGCCTGGTGCATTGTTTGGCAGTGTACAGGCAGCTCGGTGCAGAGCTGGACAGTGCGAAAGACCGATGCACATGGCATCTTCGATATGGAAAGGTTTCGCCTTCTGACAAAAGGCACAGCACAAGAAGCATCAAACGTAGGTTGCATGGCCGTCGCTTTCGACGTCTGATCTCACTTGTCGACAAGTTGACCTCACATTGAGCCTGGAGTGTGATGTCATTGAACTGTCTACGTAAACTCCAAATCATCTTAGTGCATGTGCTATCTCAAGCGGTTTTTTTTTGCGAAACCCAACTTAGAGACTTAGTGTTATCACCTCCACCCCACATAGAGGGCTCCCTGGCTTCTCAAATCGGGACCAGCTGGTAGGCCTTGGTGAGCCTGACCTCTGAAAGCTTTGTGGTGGAGACAGCCCCCAATGTATACATGCGTGTATCTCTCTCTCTCTCTCTCTCTATATATATATATATGTTTCTGTATATGTATATGCCATGCACATGTCTGTTATACATATGTACACATACATACATGCATACATACATATACGCATGCAGTGCGGCTACATTCATACATGTGGTTGTGCGCATATTATGAAATACATATATACATACACCCGCCATGCGCATAACCCATGAGCCTCAAACAGACCGACGTTGCACGAACCGTTTTCCGCCAGGTGTTGGTCGGAAATGCTTGATGCTATTGCTTGGAGGACCTGCAGAGCTTCAAGTTAGGCTGTCGGACATGGAACCAACCAGCGATCATATCTTTTGTAACACTGCTGCCAAGCTGCTGCATAGTTGCCACTGTGAGAATCAGTAGGATCCTCGTGACTGCACCTATCCGTTTTGCTGCTGTGCATCTGCATCGTGTGGAGTTTGATGTTTTTGCGTTGCATTCGGTCGTGCCTGTCAGCTTGAATACAGTAAGTACGTCTGTGATGATAGTAAAATCGCCGACGTAGTAGTCGCACTTAGCAGCAACTAGAAGACCATATCAATGAATTCGATGTTCGCATTCAGGCAGAAGGAGAACGCAGCATCAACTCTACATGCTATGGTTCGAGAGCAATAGAATCACGAAACCAGTCACAACAACAATATCCTTAGAATTGTTGCGTGATTACCATCAGTATCGAACTGTTCATGGCGTTCATGGTCTTCGGCATGGTCATGTCCATCATTGTAATAAAAACCCATGGTTGACATAACCGTCTTCGTTATCTTTACCACCGCCACAGGAAAGCAAGAGCAGAAACAGCTGTCCTGAAAAGACTTTGCTCACCCGAACGGGCTTATGTCATGCGCCACATCAATGTCCTGCTCCGTTCAACAAGCTACACCAAACAAGGATTACGTCGACGGTTGCCTGAATGCAGGAGGTGAAGACCGTCGTGACGAAGGCAGCTCGGAGAGAAGAAGGCATCGGCTCGAGATGGTAGTTGGCATCTCGAATGCTAGGCTCGAATCGTCGCAGTGTGGAATGTGCTGAGAAGCCACCCTTACACTTCACGTCCCAGTTGCCCCACACGCAGACAATTTGCGAAGGTTATCGAACAACAGGCATCCCATGTCCTCATGATTCGGCACCCAAGTCCTTAAATCGGGCTGGCAGTTGATATTCGTAAATACCCAGCCGTCCGAGCTGACCGTCTATGCTCAGCTCAGGCACTGTTCGTGCCGATCGGACCCTGACCTTTTGAGTGCTTAGCACGTCAACCTCAAGCCAACCCCCTGACTGAAAACCGTTTGAAGTTCAGCCGCATGCACATGACCTGTCACAGCATAGAGTAGCGGCAGCAGCTGCAGGTGCTACCCCAGCCGCCGAGGAGAGTGAATCCCTGCCTGAGAAGAAGTGGGCCTGTGCTGATTCTATGGCCGGCCCATGCGCCGGTAGTCGGCTGACTCCGGTGCCAGATAATGTTGCTTCGACGGTCGGTTCGAGAAGCAATTGCATTCTGTCCCCCCAGGATGACCACACTAGTATGCCTTCTAATAAGAATAATCGCAACAACAATAAAAGAGTTGTAGTAGCAATCAAACAAGAATGACAAGATACAACATACCAACACAATATGAATAACAATAACAACCAGAGGTGATAATAGTAAGTATAGCAGCAATACTGACAAACATATTCAGATCAGTAATCCTGCTATATGGAATTAGGTACTATACAGGATAGTATACCAAGTACAGCATGGCACCCTAAGCCCAAAACCCTAAACCCTATGGCATATCACGCCCTGCCCAAGGGCCTCGGTCTTGGCAGGGAGGTAGCAAAACATACGGCGGCGGGGACGAAGAGATGGTAATTTGGGGATTAGGGTTTGCGGTTCTGGGTTTAGGGTTTAGGGTTGGGAAAAGTCAGTGCCATTCCACCTAAAGTCTGAACCGGTAAACCCTGAACTTCCAGCCTCTTTTCTGCAAAAACACCCCGTAGGTGGGATGGAGCGGAGCGACCGTTGAGCCAAGTAGTGCTAATGACCTGAGGATGGCTACGACATCCGGGAATCAAAGAAGGTTCTTGGTTTTCTTTTGTATTTGGGGTGCAGGGTTTTTTCAGGTTAGCAGGCTTAATTACAGGGTTTACCTTACCCTAAACCCTAAACTTTACAGGGCTTTTGAGGTTCTGCGTTTTGTCGGATTCAGGCCTTACGGGATGTAAGGTCTGCTGTAACTATCGGCAAAACGATTGTAACTACCCATAGGCCACAAGGTAGTTCCTTTTTGGGAGTACCTTATAGGGTTCTATATATGAACCCCAAAACGGAACTACTTTGGGGCCTCAGGGTATGTCGTGTATCCAGCTCGCCACTTCTCGTTTGTGCGTCAGTATCCATGCTTGTCCACAAGCATAACCACTCGTAGCGGCTGAGACTGTGACTCGCCATCCCGAATTCTGGGGTTGCTGTGGAACTATCCGACGTGCTGTTTTACAAACACTTCACACGGCGTCGGTTCTTCTCAGCATGTCTATTCGCTTTCGGCTCACATTCCACAGTTCATGGGCAGATGCAAGCTCTGGAAGCAGCCTATGGCTGCTGCAGAATCCGGATGATCAGCTGACTCAGCTGACGTCGTCGAAGACTCAGAACGTCCGTGGAACAAACACTATCGTGGGTGAGTCGCCGTCAAGAGATGGGAAGAGGTATAGTCTCGATCATCATTTTCTGAGAGGCTGTGTCGCAGTACTTGTGGCCTCAGACCTTCTCCTGGGCCGCAACAATACAGCGATCTAAAACCGAACCTCATTTCGACGCTTGTTTTGCACCCTCTCACTATGATGATGACGGGTGCTACCAGTGGTCCTATCACTGTCATGACAGCTGTTGTTTTCTGTACCATGGTTGGTGCCATTGCCAGCCGGATCAGCGAGCCCTTGTTCTGCATGTGGGGCATGTTCAAAGGTCCCCCGCATGCGCAAGCCTGTAAATTGCAAATTCGATAACGACGTTTGGTGGAATGCGCAAAATTCCAAATCCTAGCCCGAAAGTTCGCATTTCCCAAACACCCGCGGTCTGTCGGCTGTGGCCTTTGGACTCTGGACCCTTGCAAAACTCCCAGTCCTGGTAAACTTGCCTTTGGTTAGTAGGGTATGGAAGAATGGTTTTAATAGTATAGTTATAATTGTACCCCATTCCTCCATCCCTAGAACCAAAGGTAAGTAAACCCGACTTGCCCTCAGGGCCATGGCCTCCTTTATCCGCTGCGCCTGCGCTGCCGCCCGACGACTGCCACGGCGTAGCATTGAGGAGATATGGGAGTGTCCCTTATAATAAGGATCCTACTCATTAGGGTGCTATATTGGGGTCCCTATTTTCGGAAACCCCCATATGGGGAAGGTTACGGAAGGTTTGGATGTAAGGTTTGGGGGTCGCGCAAGGTTTGATTCAATCTCGACCAGCAGCACCGGCGCAGGGCCGGATGTTCAACTCTCAGTAATCTGATGTGTACTTTAGTACAAGTATTATGTCGCTTGGATCTGCTTGAGCAAAATCAGGCCTTTAGCTCGCGAGCTCTGCTGGCCAGTACAACTGCAAGCGTATTGCACGCGGCAGAGTGAGTATGTTATTGGTCAGATGTTGGGGTCGGTGTTGTCTTGGAAGCCCAGTTTGGGCGGGGGGCCGCAGGGCCCCGGGGAGGAGGGGGGGTGTCCTTCAGGAAGGGTTGAGGAGAGGAACACTTCGGGTTGCCAGTATTGCAACTATGTACAGCTTGATGACATGTGCTTGCCAAGCAGTGAAAAAGAGCGCTTCCTTTGCTTGAGAGACGCGGTTTCTGATATTTTAAGCTGTTCAGTCCTTTGGCCGCTCTGCTATCATCTTTCGTGAGATGGGAAGCTTTGATCCGCCAGGAGTTCTGGCAAGGTGGAGTAAGAGATCCACAGCTCAATGCACTGCAAAAGCAGGCGATGCGAGGGATGCAAGTGTCCAGGGGCAGGGAGAGCTGGGACGTGCAGATGAGATATGGTATGGCGGATGTTTTGCACATTTGTGCATGCGATCCGGCCGGAAAAGCATCCAGTCCGTCGTGGTTTCAAGAGAAGCACCTGGGAAACAGGGGGTCAACACTGAATGCTATGTCACAGATGATTGTTGACAGCTCAGTAGCAAAGCATGCCAGGTTCCGACCCAACAAATCTCGTATGTGTGTCCACAGCTGTGTAAATTGCATTGGTCTTTTCCGAGTTCGTCTTCCCTGCATCGAACTCAGACACCTGTTGCCCTGCTGAGCAAGCGCATGTGCCATGACAAACCCGGCAGGACATGTTGCAC